AAAAACCAGGAGAGATTAAGCAAGTTTAGGTTTACAGTAATTCAATTGCTACAGAGCCAACCTGCCTACTTAGCAGCCTGCCCACCTCCCAAGAGCAGCATATAAATCAGCAGAATGTTCTGCACCAGACTTTTAGCAGCAAGACAGTGAAACAGAAGGAAATCTCGCTTTTTCTGCTCCATTTAAATCTCATTTTTCTTCAGCTAACAGACATTTCTCCTCACTGTTGCCCTTAGCTTTAAGGAAGGCTTTGTCTCAGACTGCTTGAAGTCAAACTGAGGTGGGGTAGAAAAGCAGGACAGAGAGGTGGAGATCACAGCGAAGGGGCATCACTTAACTTGGCAGCAGACACAAGGAATAACCAAATATCAGGGGAAATCTGGTTTTCACAAGGGCTGTTTTCTGCTGAGAAGGAAAGCTGTTTCCTTTCACTGCTCCCATTCCTGTTACTCTTCCTACCACCAGCCGTGTTCTCCCTTAAGTACTGAAGCCCCATCACCAGCCAGTGATCACCGAGGTGAATGAAGCCTTAACTCAGGTCCTCACAGAGAAAGGAACTTCTGCAACAGCAATTAGGAATTAGGAAGCCAACTATCACCTGCTTTAAAGAATAATTCCCAAAAGATCCAAGTGGGTCAAGATATACCCTAATGTGAATTTAGAGATCCTTGTGGAATGAAATTTGGCCAATTTGGTAAAATGTGCTCCCTGTGAATGGGAACATTAGAAAAACTCTTCTGTGTTTGTTTTTAAGGGGATATACACACACCTCACCCCACAAAGAGACAGAAGCATGATAAAAGGAAAATAATCTCACCACAGAGGAAAAGAAACTATTTCATAGTGCCCCAGTGTTAGGTCAGCCACCTGGCAGGGAGGAATTCCTCAGCCTTACAGCATCCTCATGGACCCGCCATAAATTTCCTCTGTTAGAAATAAGGTCCCATTACTTAAGAGCAGAATCTGTAAAGAACTCCCCAACACCACAACTACAGATACTTGGAGACAAGAAAGGATTCCAGCTTTCATTAGTGCCATCTGGGGGATTTTCTTGCCAGAAAAGCAGCATGGACTGGGGTGGCTGAAAGCACAACAAAGCCAGAAGCAGGGCTCCTACACAAGGAAAATGCAAGTACCAAGTTGTCTCTTCTGCTCTGCAAGAGGAATGAAAGCAATCACTGAAGTAAAGCTGCTTCCACTGGCTGCTCACATTCGTTACAAAAACAGGTACATTGTTCTTCTAGAATCAGTGCCTGGTGCAGGAATTTACCAACATACTGTATAAAAGTCTGTGTAAGTACCATTTAAGAGAAAGAAATAGTCATGGACCATTTATATATCTATACTGACACACACGCTCACACACACATCCACCCACACACATTAATAAATATAAATTTTATGTTTACACAGATCTAATTTAATATTCTCTGAAAAAAATATTTAAAGGGTTTCTTCCTTAGCTGCCACCCATGAATTGTCAATGTTTTTTTTTTTTTCTATCTTGAGAGCAAAGGGGTAGATTTGGCACAACTACCCTGAGGCTCTGAAACTTAAAGTGACATGTAAGGAGAGGACCAGCCATACATTCTGAAAGGTTTTAATTCAGTGTTGGTAAATTGAAAAGGTATCAAAAGAATTTTCTGAACATATAAATACAAAGGTCAAAAGTTGATTAAAAATTTGGAATTTAAATATAGTGCTCCAAGAAAACCAAGTATTTTTCCAAATATCTTGCTCAGGCCAAAGTACAATGCTCCCTGCTGTATTACTGCCCCACGGAAGACACCCTAACAGAGAAAGCCCACCCTCACAGCCAGCTAATTCCCACTGCTGATTACTGTTTGTGGATATATCCCCACCTGTGTGCACAAACACATGCACTGCCCTGCAAGTAACACACCCAGCAGAGAGAGATGCTGATCCCACTAATCACAGCCACACAGCTGCCAGGCAGCCGCACACAGAGATGCTCCAGCTCTGTTTTGGTCAGGTGCAGATCAAAATGCAAGAAGGCATCACTTCCCAACCCCATCAGTTCCAGCAATCCAGATGACCTTGTAGTGTAACTGTTTTCTGCAGCACAGCTGGCTCCATTGGAAGCTACACTTTCCAGCAGTAGTGTATGCTATAGTAGTAGCAGCTTTGGCGTAATTTTTCACCCAGAAGGAAACAAAAAGTTACATGACTGAACAATCCGTTGTAAAACTGCAGCCTAACACACAGATCCTCGCCAGATGCAGACCTTCAAGCAATGGAATTAAATCAGGAGTTGGATTAAAGGACTCTGGAGTTGACAGAAATAACTACAAATAGAGGGGGGGAAAACTGATGAGGAGCAGAAATAGGAGCTGCCCAAGAGACTGGCTGGCAAGAGAAGACAGATCATTTGCTGCAGGAGGGCATTTACAAACTCAAAAACTCAGTGTGCAGCCAGGGCAAAATGATGAAGCAAGTCCTGTTCCATTAGAGGTTCATTTTTAATGCCCGAGTCCAAATTATTAGCAGCAAGACTTAAAAAACCTCGAAGATTTTGCATCAGGGTAGAAACTCAAGGCAAGTTCCTCATCGGATTTAAACTATCATTTCATAAGGTAAAGCACAGATATTTGGAGGTGATCAGGATCCTTCAGTGCTGCCTCCTGCTAAAAAAGCTCCAAGACCCAAGCTGGCACTGTTCCTTGGAAGAGAGGGACAAGATGGTTGCATATGTACAAATGCAATCCAGAGCATTTCCAGTTCACTTTGTGACTCATTTCTTACACTGACGCTTTTCATGCAGCAAGAGCCCAAACAGGTACTGGGCTGTACAGGCCAAAGTGTAGCTATCAGGCCAAGAAAAGGGATTCCTTTTCCAATCCATCCAACTTTTTCCAGATCATGTCTGTAGAACTGTGCCTGCTTTTGGGCTCCCCAGTACAAGACCCACAGTGACCTGCAGCAATTCCACCTGATGCTCTGGAGCCTAAGCACGTCATGTACAAGAAGAGACCAGGACAACCAGGTTGGTTCAGCCTCAAGAAAAGGAAGCAAATGGGGAAAATCTTACTGGAATCTTCAACTACCTATTTGGAAGATGCAGAGAAGGCAGAGCTAGGCTCTTTTGAGAAGCAACAAACACATGCAGCAGTGTGGGGAATTCTTAAATTGGTGAGAAGTTTTCACCTCATGGGTGGTGAGAGTGGATTCTCTGTGGAAAGGTACAGAACTATTGCTAGGTTAAATCCTCATCACCCAAGATCCCCAAATCCATTTCTCCTTTCACCCTACATTTTGACATTCATTTACACGCTTGCACACGTCAGGGTGACACCAAATATCTCCCTGGGAACACCCCCTGCTAACACAGATGAAAAGCTCTAACACCAATTTAACATTCCCAGCAGGCAGGGAAAAGTGTTCCACACCACACTGCATGAAAGCTCAGGTCAGATGCTCTCACTTGCTTTGATACAGGTCCCTACTCTTCTGTGCTCCAAGTCTGATTTCACTGCTGGTATTTCCCTACTGAAAATGAGAAAAAAAAAAAAAAGTGGAAATTAACTTGGAAAGACAGCTCTCTAAAACATGCAAAACCAAGTTTACTCC